CACCTCACAGATGCAGGCGCTCTGCCACTGACGGCCTCCACTAACCGGGAGGTGGGACGAAAAGACCACCTGGGCCCCCAACTCTCTAAGCTTGGCCCCCAGAACCACGTAGTGATCCATGGTCTGGTCCGGACTACTCTGGGCCGTATCATTGGTTCCCACGTGGATGAGGACCATAGGATAGTAGTCGGAAGGCCGGATGAGGTCAGTGATCTTTGTGACGTCCCCAGTCTTGGCTCCTGGGAGATAGTATACTTCTCTCACATTGGGGTCCGTGCGGCGGATGGGTCCCTCTGTTCCTCTGAGGAGGGAGTCCCCTGTGATGATGACCCGATGTCTCTTCCTCTGGGTCACTGAATGATGCTCCGGAAGTACGGATGCCAGCTTGTTGGTTGAGCTTCCTCCCTTCCTCCTTCCTCATGCCCAGTCTCCTCCAGCTGCCAGGGCCACATACCTGTTCCCCAGTTGTACTGGGGTGACAGTTGATGCAGCTGCGCACTGCCTGCGACGCCACCTGGCCCTGGAGGTGATCATCCTCCATAGCCTCCTGCAGGCTTCTGGGTGGTGACAGCCTGAGGGGATGGGCCCTGCAGAGAGAGAAAGTACCCGTCAATCTCGTCCTCCACAGCCCTGATCCGCCGCAGCCTGCTCACCTCTGCCTGGAGCTCTCTCACCTGCCCCTCCAGCGCCGCAATCTTGGCACAGGTGGGACAGGTGAGAGAAGCCTCCGCTCCCATGTCCCCCCCTGGCCCCAGGGACCAAGGCAGGTGGCCCCACCTGGTTGGAAGCCTCACCGGTCCCCGAGCCAGGAGGAAGCCGTGGGGCAGGAGCCCTGGCTGCACTCGGCGTGACAAATCCCATGCTGTCCCCCCCACTCACTTAACCTGGAGACGGCTACGGCTGCTGCTGCTGCTGCCGCCGCTGGTTCTTCTGCTACCTGCGGCCTCTCACGCGCCTCCCAGCGCAAACCCCGGTGCGCCCCTAAAGAGTGCTCCTGTCTGCACTCCCTGTTCATGCAGCTCGGGAGCGCTGCTAAATGGGGTCAGGCGGGGAAAGAATCCCCTGCCCGATTGCCCTCACCTGGCCCCACTTGCTCCCTTCCCCTTCCCTGGCTTACCTCCTGGTTGCTGCAGCTGTCCCTCAGCTGCAGATCGTTGCTGCTGCTGCTGGTGCTGCTGCTGTTGCCACTGCCTCAAGTGTCAGGGGACACCAGGGGCACGTGCGCTCCCTCCGGTGTCCTCAGCACAACCAAGGGGTATCTGGTTCTCCTCCTAAATAGAGAGGGAGCAAACAGTAAGATCAGTATTGCCTTAAAGTATACTTCAGTCTTCTCCAAACAAGAACGCAGTTACCTATTTATGCTCTCCAAATGAGAATGAGTTATCTCCTTAATAAATCAGTTTTATTGAGCATTATAAAGTATTAACTCCAAGCATGCATATAGATATAATCTTAGCAGTTTCAGTAATCTTAGCAAGATATGATCTTAGCAAGCAAGTAATTGTATATTACCAGTCGTAGTAATATGCGACTTGGGAGCTGGCCAGGCTTCCAGAGCTGGCAAGGTTCGTTGAAGAGAGAGAGATCAGATGTCGTCAGTTCTCAGGCATCATCGGGGTAGGGAAAAGGAGGTTTCTTTTGTTCAGGTAGTAATACTTATAGTCCTCTAGTCACATAGCTACCAATTAGGCTTTTTTTTTGTTTTTCATCAGCAACTTGAATTATGTCTCCCCTTTATCGCTGTTTCTTTCTTTTCTCCATGGTATCAGGAGCCATCTGCTCCAGATATGGGTGGAATGCGCCATAACAAACCCTTTTATACATAACAAGCCTCTATCATCGGACACTTGCAGAAAACAAGCTGCATCAGACCCTTTTTTCTGTAGGGAGCAGGTCATATAATCACATAACTCCATGAACGCCTTCTTAGCCTACTTATGTCAAGGCTGTTCTAGGCCTTACCGGCCTAAGGGACCATTTTGGTCCTGTCAGGCATCAAAAGGCTGAACTGTCTCCACATAGACACTTCCCTCTTGAAATCAATAGGGCTACTCTGATGATGTGTAAATTTAAGCAAATTGTCAGTGTTGTTTATAGGATGGGACTTGATCTTATAACTCCTAAACCAGCAGACCCTTGTATAGTCAGCTGCAGGATCAGATCCACAATAAGTAGATTGAAAAGTTGGTTCCTGAGCTGATCTCATTTAAAATGAAGTTCTGAAGTTCCTATTGAAGATCAGAGGATCTGTCAAATCTTTCTGGAAGATGATGTCATTTTGTAAATTCTGCATGTACTTTGGCTAAAATGCAAAATTTGGGGGTGGGGAGGAAATGTCCTTGTAACTGTTACAGCTGCTTCATATCTTTAACAAAAATCAAGAGCCAGCAAAAACTGGTATGCATACTTGATATGAGATGATAGCATCTGATGAAGCAAGTCCTCCGCTTCAAAAAGCATGTGCAATACATCTGTGATTTAGTTAGTCTACGAAGGTACAACTTTGTCTGGCCTTCTATTTGGTATATCCTGGAAGTTGTTCCAGTGCCTCATTTCCATACTTCAAGATAGCTCTTTTCTATGCACAGAACTAAACACCCAAATACATTTTTGCTCCCAGTCCTGCAGCTTTGTTATATGCATGGTCATCATATACGAATTGTTGAGTATGAATTTTGATTAACTAAAAATAACAGATAATATTTTGATCATTGTTAGGAAATGACATAACAGCACTAGGAAACGATGTAAAAGCACTTACTGCTCTACATGGCAGGATGTTCAGATGTATGGGTTTTTTGCTTATCTTTACAGAGAAGAATCTGACAGATGCCCAAACTAACTTTGGGCTTTGGGGAGATGGCAGAGGCGAAGATGAGCTGTCACCTGAAGAAATTCAAATGGTAAATTCTGTTTTACATTTGCTAATTGTGGATTTTTTCACCTAATGCTATCACTACGTTGTGTGGCAAGGAACAGAACACCCACCCACACTTGGCTTTCAACTTGCTTTTTATGCAAAATGACTCGATAAAAAATGTGTCCTATGTATGCCTTTTTCCACTTGGTTTCCTAAGTCTTGCTATCAGTTAATATTAACATTGCTACAAAATAATTTTAAAAGTCATTACTGCACAGTTATGCAATTAGTGAGCAACTGTTTTTCAGTAATTAAAACTTCCCTTTGAAATTTAAATTAAAACTGCTCTTTTAAATTGCCGTTATGAATTGCTTTTTAAGTCAGCAAACAGCAGAAGTCATGGTAGCATTAAGAGACGCATAAAGAAACTTCTGGAGGATAAGATTGTTGTGACAGCTTCTGCCTCAGACTAGCGCCAGAACACAGTCAAGTTATTCTTATTTCACTTTATTCTTTATATGTGTATGGTCAGTGATTACAGAGCAGGCTTGCTTGAGCCATTTTTCTTATTGATCAAGCCATTGTTACAGTGGCAAGTTAGCCAACAGGGTTTCGTTCAGTGCACTCTATGCATCTTTCTGGTTGTCACCATCATTTTATTCAGTCATCTACCCCATTCATGGTGGAACTGATTGACGTGATGCTCCAAATTGCAAGGACAGGGTAGCTTCATATCGACTTTAGGGCTTTCAGTGTGTGCAGAGTGTTCAGAGATCACACTTCGAAAGGCTTTGTCCAGACACATAAACACGTTGCAGACACTTGGACAGAAACAGGTAAAACCCAAGCAGCAGCCATCCCACAGGTGCAGCGTGATCAACATTACTGTCTGAGCTAAGGCAAAGTGCTGCTGCATTCAAAGCATCCAAAGCTTTCATTGTGGCATTTCAAGGGATTTGCAAATATTGTAGACACGGGGCTGGTCAGGAGGTCAGACTGGGTACCACACTACCCCTGCACACTAGGATTTGGGCTCCATGGCACCCCAACCTGGCTGAAATCAAGCAGTGCTGCCCCATCTTATGCACCAGATTTGGGCCCTGAGCCATAAAAAGCCAAAGATCAGTAAAGTCATCTTTTCACCATAGATGGTGAGTCTAACTTATGTAGCAGTGACAAAACTATCTTAGCATAAGTAAAAGCATTTTGGAGCCATAATTCACAGTTATGCATTTAGCTTCAATATAAAAATGTTGCCGTTATGAGCAGCCTCCCCTCTAAACTGTGTGGGATGTGCGGCCACGCAGGTGTGCTCGTGTTGCACTTCCAGATGTGCCTGCGTGGCTGCGCATACCATGCAGCTCAGAGGGAACACTGGTTACAAGGCTTGAATTGGCACTGTAGTTCTGCAGATTAGAAAGGAATAGCGTTCCACAAGTGGCTTAGTTTCAAAAGAAGATTGAATAAGGGAGTGGATACCGAAAGGGGAGTTTTTGGCTCTCTATTTAGAGTAGGGGCTGGCAAAATTTGCCAGATTGGACCCACCAGGTGATTTCATCTGGCCTGCAGGCAGGCACCCACCAATAACCTGGGCACCCCTTGGGATAACCAGCAACAACAGCCACAAACTGACAGAAAGCAGATTTAGATTAGACATGAGGAAGAACTTCTTTATGGGAAGGGTTGCCAGAATCTGGAATGGGCTTCCAAGGGAGGTGTCGCCCTCCCGTACGTTGGGGGTCTTTAAGAGGAGACTGGACAAGCACCTGGCTGGGATCAAATGACCCCAGCGCTCTTCCTTGCCCAGGCCAGGGGGTTGGACTCCATCTGTTGAGGTCTCTTGTGACCCTAGCAACTATGAAACTGTAATAATTGTATCCAGACTGGCCTGTGGTTGCCCCTGCTGCATTCCACATGGGGCTGAGCCTTGCCCGCTCCCACCCATGTCTGCCAAAGGTCCCTGGCACCAGCCATTGTACACAGCTTCCTAGCAAGGCTATTATTGCCCCTGCTGCAGCTGCCTGGGGAACTGCTCAGCTCCCTTGACCTCCAGTGGTTCCTGCTCCTGTACTTGCTGCAGCGCTCCAGACAGCAAGTAGGGAAGAGGCAGCAGGTGAAGGGGAAGCTGTATCTGGGTGGGAGTGCAGGGCTGGGGTTGAAGGGAACGTGGGGCCAGGGCCAGTGGGAGTGCGAAGCCCAGGATGCAAGGTCAGTGGGAGTCCAGGGCCCATGCAGGGGCTGGGGTTGGTAGGAGTGTGAAGCCAGAGCAGGGAAATGGGAGCGTGAGACAAGCCTGTCTCCAATATGTGGGGTTCCCCATGGTTCAAGTCCAGCTCCTGGGACTTGGCCAGGAGAGGCAGGGGGCAATGAAGCTGGGCTGGCTTATCCCCATTCCCTGACACCTTGGCCCGGTCCTGGGAACTGCATGCGGAGGCAGGGAGCAGGGCCAGGCCACCAGTTCCATTGCATGGAGCTCTTCCCCACTGACATTGCTACTCTGGCCAAATCCCAGGAGCTGCACATGAGCCATGAGGAGCCCCATGCAGTGGAGCTGGCTGGCCTGGCCCCTCTTCCTGCCACTTTGTAAAGCTCCTGGGACTCGATTAGAGCTGTGGGCCCTGAGCACCCTGAGGGCCTGTTGCTGCTGCTAGCAGAGGCTGTGCCATGGGGGGGGGCTTGCGGGGGGAGCCCCCCCCACACATCCCACCATATATACGCATACCCCTCCATGCATCTCTCACACACACACACCCTCCTCAACACATGTCCTTCACACACCTACACCACCTGACAAACTTCACACCCACCCACACCCTTGTCCACACCCCCTCACACCTCTCACCGACCCTACACACACACCAACACCGTCCCCCATATCTCCCCACAAACAATATGCAAGCATAAGACTTTATTTTGAGCTATTATGCAATCGTCTCTATATACGCTATACAAACGCATGTAAATTAGGACAAAAGTATTTTTTTTAAATAAAATGTTATAGTAGATGTTGGATTTTTAGTATATGATTTAGTTGTTTTCCCATTCTAAGATGACAGTTCCCCCTCCCAAAAGGAGTACTATAAAGGGCAAGGAGGATGACAAGCAGAGGGCAGGGCACCTGTTAAGGGGCAGGAGTACCCTTGCAACCCTCAACAACTCATCAAAACTCATTAAGTGGCCCTCCAGCTGAAATAATTGCCTACCCCTGATTTAGAGGATGTGATTTGTGGAGTTATTCCTGCTGTCTTTAGGTTGTATGGTTTATCTGTTTTTTCCTATGCTCCTGGGCTTGACTGGTTGCCACACGGGCCAGGAAGGAATTTATTAAATTTACTTCTCTTTCACAGCATCTTTGTGTGTTGTTCAGAGAGTTATTTTACAAGTATGCTATTGAGAATGAATATTGTATTCACAATATGATGTTTCAAAAGAATTCTAAAATCTCCCTGACCTAGCTATAGCCTGACATACTGTCAGCTAGTCCTAAGGGTCAGCAGCTAGACCTTTTTGAAAAGTCCATTATTACTCCATATACCCTTCCAAAGTCCTACTGCTCTCCATTTTTATTTTTTATATTTTGAACTTGGCATTGATCATTTCACACTGGCTCACTTTTTTTTAATTTCATTTGCAGAGAGTCAGGAATGGCACTGTATGAGAAAACTGCATAAAAATAACACTGAAGTTCTGAGTTAAATCAGCAAACACAAGGCCATCATGTAACTTTGCTCTTAGCTTGCCATGTTCTGCCTACATTTTGCAGAATGATAAATTGTCTGTGACACAGATCTGACACTTCTGCCATGTCTAGGCATATCAGAATGACTTGTGTGTTAAATTTTAACTTTAGCTCTAGATTTAGTAGTGTGTTCAGCAAAGCAACAGATGCAAAATGGTATCGAGATTCTTTTTAGTTCTTGCTAGGTCTATGACAATAAAAAAATTTCTTGGGCTTGTGCAATAATTTACTCTTAAATATGAACAGCAGATTTTCTTTACAAATGTATTGTATTAGCACAAAAGTACTAAGGAGCATATAGTATCTAGAACAGGAGACAAGAGGCAGCAGAAGCACAGCTATACCTATTACTGTAGTTGAAACTACCACCTCTCCTCTCCTCTTCTAGTTGACTTAAGATATTGCCAAAAGTCAGTTCTGCCCTAGATGGCTGATTTTTCTCCTGATGGTGGTGGGAGGCTACATTCAGTGTTCATCCTTCCCTAACCCTTTAGTAATGTTTTTCACATAGGAAAGAATTGATGGGGAATGTAGTAGTGGATGGCAGTTTGGGCAGCAGCAACCATGAGATGATTGAGTTTAGGATCCTGACAAAAGGAAGAAAGGAGAGCAGCAGAATATGGACCCTGGACTTCAGTAAAGCAGACTCTGATTCACTCAGGGAAATGATGGGCAGGATCTCCTGGGAGGCCAGTCTGAGGGGGAAAGGAGTCAGGAGACCTGGTTGTATTTTAAAGAAGCCTTAGTTTGTTCCCGCACCCTCAGTATTCCAGTGTTCAGGATGAATAGCAAATATGGCAGGCGACCAGCTTGACTTTGCAGAGAACTGTTCAGTGAACTCAAATACAAAAAGGAAGCTTACAAGAAGTGGAAGTTGGGCAGATGACCAGAGATCCAGGTTTCCCCTTGCAGGTTGCCAGAGTTCCAGTTTGCAAGGGGCTGCGAGGAGTGGGAGGAGGCCAGTCAGGCAGGGGACACCATGTACATGTCCACACATACACATACACGTGGCTATCAGGCAGCCTGGAGAGTGGGTCTCGCAGCTCACCGCAGGTAAGTCTTGGGGCAGGGGAGGATTGAGGCCTCCATAGTGAGGGGGAGGGAGTTGGGCAGGGCTGGGACTGCTGCCCAGTCAGTGTGGTGAGTGGGACTTAGGGCCTGGGGCCATGTATGAAGTGCCCTGTGCCCACCCAGCAGCAGCAGGGGTGGCGGCATGGGGTTGTGTCCCTCACTGCTGCAGGTGGGCAGGGCGCACTTTGCCATGGTGGTGCGGAGCTCCCGCAGGTGGCTTTAGCCTCCCCGCC